GCGGGACATCCTAAAACATTTAATGTGAAAATGGCTTAATGTAGCTTAATGTACCATAATGTGCCTAAACCTCAATCGATTGCCTTGAAACTTTGCACAACCCAAGTGCTCAGCTTCCCAAACCTATCCTGAAGGTTTCATGGATTTTGGTTACCCACAAGGCAAATAAGCTTGTTTTTTTGGGAGCTTAATGTGGCTTAACGTACAAAATACAACTTACATGTTAACCAATTTCCCCCAAACTTACCATACTACAAGACTCTATCTATGCCAGCATATTCTGAAGATTTGGGGTAATTTGATAAAACATACCAAAAGTTATTCACATTAAATGTTTTAGGATTGTAATAAAATAGTTTAATGTGAACAGCTTAATGTAAAAAGAGCTTAATGTGTAAAAAAGTATCTAAACCGCAATCAATTGCCTTGAAACTTTGCACAACCCAAGTGCTCAGCTTCCCAAACCTATCCTGGAAGTTTCATGGATTTTGGTTACCCACAAGGCAAATGAGTGACATCAAGCTTTGTTTTTTGGGGAGCTTAATGTGGCTTAACGTACAAAAAACAACTTACATGTTAACCAATTTCCCCTAAACGTACAATACCACACGACTCTATCGATGCCAACATATTGTGAAGATTTGGGGTCATTTGATAAAATGTACCAAAAGTTATTCACATTAAACTATTTTATTACATTCCTGGAAAGCATTTAGCTTAATGTAAGAAGAGCTTAATGTACCATATTGTGCCTAAACCTCAATCAAATGCAGTGTCACCGGAGATTGTGCGGGGTCACTGGGGATGTGCGGGATCACTGGAGATGTGCGGGGTGACTGGGGATATGCAGAGAGCACATGTGTGGTGACACCAAACAATTTCCATGGACTCCGCACATCACGGTGACACTGCACAGTGGGGGGATCTATCGAAACCGGAGCAGGAGAAAACTGGAGCAGCTGTGCATGGCAGCCAATATGCTTCTCTCTATCATTTTCAAATCTTAACGTAACAAACTGAAGAGAGAAGCTGATTGGTTGCCATCGGCAACTGCTGCAGATTCTGTTTGCTCCAATTTTGATCAATTTCCCCCAATGTCTTTATCTGTTCTAGCAGTCGTATATGTAAATGAGAAGAATGGTGGGGGGAGGGGAGGGGGAGTGGGTAACCTGGACTCGGGGCGGCAGAGTGTAGATGTGACCCAGGATAAGGGGGAGATCTGAGAGAGACACAGGAGATCACTTGTCCTGTTCTATAGACTTCTCTCTGTGTCCTAACACTCACACAGACACACAGAACTATGACTCATCCTGCTGTCTCTCCATAGAGCAGAGAGGGGAGGGGGGAGGAGGGGAAAACAGCTGATTGCAGTTTAGAGATAAGAAACCCGACCCTGTGAGAGAGACGGATTGAAGATATTGTGGAGGGAATTTTGTACTTCTAGGCCTCTGGCCGATAAAAGAATCTATAAAATAAAGTATAAAATACAGCTCTGTGACTCCTAAGAATGCACACACATCTACACCCCCCCTGCACCTCCCCATTGCCACCAAAAACTCAAAATCACTTACAAAGGTGGAAATGTCCTTTTAAGTGTCCCAAAAAACAAGCTTAATGTCACTAATTTGCCCTGTGGGTAACCAAAATCCATGACACTTCCAGGATAGGGTTGGGAAGCTGAGCACTTGGATTGTGCAAAGTTTCAAGGCAATTGATTGAGGTTTAGATACTTTTTTACACATTAAGCTCTTTTTACATTAAGCTGTTCACATTCAATGTTTTAGGATTGTAATAAAATAGTTTAATGTGAATAACTTTTGGTATGTTTTATCTAACGACCCCAAATCTTCAGAATATGTTGGCATAGATAGAGTTGTGTGGTATGGGAAGTTTGGAAGAAATTGGTTAACATATAAGTTGTTTTTTGTACGTTAAGCCACATTAAGCTCCCAAAAAACAAGCTTAATGTCACTCATTTGCCCTGTGGTAACTAAAACTCATGAAACTTCCAGGATAGGGTTTGGAAGCGGAGAACTTGGGTTGTGCAAAGTTTCAAGGCATTTGATTGAGGTTTAGGCACAATATGGTACATTAAGCTCTTCTTACATTAAGCTAAATGCTTTCCAGGAATATAATAAAATAGTTTAATGTGAATAACTTTTGGTATGTTTTATCAAACAACCTCAAATCTTCAGAATATGCTGGCATAGATAGAGTCGTGTGGTATTGTAAGTTTAGGGGAAATTGGGTAACATGTAAGTTGTTTTTTGTACGTTAAGCCACATTAAGCTCCCCAAAAAACAAGCTTAATGTCACTCATTTGCCTTGTGGGTAACCAAAATCCATGAAACTTCCAGGATAGGTTTGGGAAGCTGAGCACTTGGGTTGTGCAAAGTTTCAAGGCAATCGATTGAGGTTTAGGCACATTATGGTACATTAAGCTACATTAAGCCATTTTCACATTAAATGTTTTAGGATGTCCCTACTGTGCTACGTGCATGGTACCTTCTTCTAGTGAAGATATGATGTGCATGGATCCCTTGTTGTTCACAATGCTTTTGGTAGGGTAACCCCAGCGATAGATGATTTCATGTTTTTTGAGGGCCCTGGTTATCAGAGCCAACCGTCGTTGTATGTTCAAAGTATGCTGAGGCAGGTCTGGAAAAAAATTGAAGCTTGGGAAAGCGATTAGGAAGATTGCCCAGATTATGAGTTTTGAACAGAAATGTTTCTTTGATGTGAAAAAAGTAAATTTGCATCAGCACATCCTGTGGCGTTTTGTCAG